TATTCCACCTTCCCCCGCTGCAAACCCAAGGATAGATCGTCGCTGAGAGAAGCGAAAACGACATGGACGGGAAGTGAGTGGTGCAACGACTCTCACATACCGAGTAAGTCAGTCCTTGGCGCCATATCAGTTTGTTGAGACTAATCCGGAGATAGGAGCTCAGAGAGAAAAGGTTCTCCCTAATGCTCCATTCAAGTGCGTAGGTTCTCCAACTAGCCGGCCTCGACTACGTATTGATACCCTACGCAGAGTCTTAGATGCGCCGGGCCTTCGAGATAACTTCTATTGTTCGGTAATGGCTTATTCTCGGACATGCAACACTCTGGCCGTCGGATTGGGCAATCTGCTCTACGGATGGTCGGAATCTTCGGGCGTCACGCTTCTGAATGCCGGGCTCAAGGATGGATCGTGGCTGACATCGGTAGCATTCTCGTCTGACCAAGGCAACAAATCAATCTTGGCCTTCGGCCGTTCCAGCGGTTTGCTCTCCTTGGTGTCACTATTCGACAGCCTGCTCCCTCGCTTCGAAGCGTATCACCCTGCACCGATAGCCTGCCTATCCTGGCGTCCCGCCACGACGCCGCGGCCTTCCCGCAACGAGTCTAACCCCGGAGTCACGGTCAAGACGGAAGACCTCTTGGTGGGCGACGACATGGGCGATGTCTACTACTATTCGGTAGAGTGGCCCGAGCCCTAGGAGGTGGCTCGGGACAATTGGCACGGGGCCATGACCCTGCTTGCGCGCATCAACGTACATTCTCAGCAGATATGCGGCCTCGCGTGGTCTCCCGACGGCGATCAGTTCGCCACAGGCGGCAATGACAACCTGTGCTGCCTCTTTGACGCCGACAGCGTCGTCAACGCGGAGCCTGGCCTAAGCCTGAATCTTCCGTGGTCACCGACCACCAACTCCCCTTGTAGCATACGCGAGCCGCTCTTACCGTACACCATAAATCTAGGAGGCGACGTGCCAGCTTCGTCTTCCAAGCCCGAGTCTAGCTGTCCCGAGCTGTTATCTACCGTGAAGTATTTGCCAGCTGGTTCGGAGAGGCATCGATGGCGCCACGGTGCGGCCGTCAAAGCCATCGCATTCTGCCCGTGGCGTCAGGGGCTGATCGCCACGGGCGGGGGATCCAACGACAAATGCATCCACTTCTTTCACACGACTTCGGGGGCTGCACTCGCCACCATCTCTGTAGCGGCTCAGGTCACGGCTCTCATATGGAGCACGACCCGTCGGGAGATTGTCGCGACCTTCGGGTACGCGCAGCCTGACCATCCGTACCGCATCGCCGTATTCAGCTGGCCTGGTTGCCGACAGGTTGCCGTCGTGCCGTAGGAGGGCGAACATCGCGCGCTGTACGCCGTCGCGTACCCGGGCGGTCCAAGCGACACGTACCGCACAAAGGAGAGACTGAAGAGCCGAACAGCCGAGGAGGGCTGCATCGTCGTGGCGAGCAGCGACGAGAGTGTCAAGTTCCACGAGGTGTGGATGGCGGGTCGCAAGGCGACAACGCTCGGCAGCGGTGTTCTAGCCGGGAGCGATATCTTGGAGATGGGAGAGGGCATCGATAAGGAGGGTGACGTGATTCGCTAAAGAGAGGAAGCATCCGAAACATAGCATTGTTCGTAGTGAATTAAACAGGCTGGTTGCGTTCCAGCGACATGACAGGTTCTCCGGGTGTAAGCCAATGCCGTAGATTACCATACCGACACATAGAGAAGAGATCCGATTGTGATGATAGCTATCGTGATGTCGATATTTCTGCCAGACCTCATCATGTTGCGTTACTTCTTCAAAACAATATCTATGAGGCTAACATGAGCTTCACTTATTGTTGGAGTCTCTAGAGAAGGGTTTCTTGGTAAGAATCGACATGTCTAGCTAGAGTACCTAGATAGGCTCATGAAAAGTCAACAAGCCACGAACCGCTCATTCTACACCATATCCAACGATGAGAATTGGCAATAGACCTCAGAGAGCTTGTTTGGATCTCATCATCTCACTATCCTATCGTTCTGGAGGAGTACCGTAGTGAGGGGTACGAGATGCTTGTATTGACTGCAAGAACGACTCCTATTCTCACCACACACATCGTGTGTAGGTATGCAAAGGTCTCATCATGGAACCAGATCGAACTGGTCACCGACTTCTTATGAGTCGACGATTGCCTGAATCGAACCGTCGAACAAGAGGCCTAAGGATAGACACAGATGTGATATCAGAATCCACCACGAACAATGGACAATCGCTTCATTTCGTTTCGGTGTTCTTCCAGATTGCTTTGTCAGAGATGCCTATTGAAGTCATTGGTGGTCAAGTGATGGTCGCGAAAAGGGGTCAGGGGTTAGGGGTGAGAAAATGTGAGAATAGAGTACGTTGGTACGCACGTAGATGAGTCGAAGCTCTGACCACCCTACACTCTGCAAGTTTTGAGCTTTTATGAAGCATGGGGCACTAACCCGCTTTCGGTTCGGTCACGTTCCTTCAGTCACTTGGCCCGCCATTGATAGGAACAGATTAGCCCCTCCTTGTGGCGTCCCGCTATGTCCAAGACAGCAAGACCACCTGGTAAAGTCGAATTCAATATCGCGGATAGGTACGCTAGGTACTTATCAGGTACCCGAGCTTGTCGGGATAGTCGGTGACTGCGTCTGTCGGTCAGTCAAGGAGTTAGGCAGTCGGTCACTTGAGCTATTGCAGGCACTTGCATTTATCTTTAGAGGTATTTAGTACTTAGCATTTTGTCATCGAAAGAATTATATCACCTGCTCGTTCACGAAAAAGGATCGATGTTCTGGTTGCCTTAAGAAGAGGGGAGAAAGTACTTTCTATGTAAGTTTATGTATGTATTTGTACCCCGTCCGACGTCCGCCGCCTTCCCAGTCCCTGTCTCTTGTCCCCTCCCCCCCACGACAAAACCACTTGCTTGCGCCTACCTTCAACCTAAACTCCAGCACCAGCATCAGCACCTTACGCTCTACTTTGCCTGCCTGAACTTCCGTTTCCATTACCAACCGAAAACTCTCCTCCACCATCATCATCATCGTCATCTTCTTCTACTTCTTCAACACAATCACAACCAACCCAACTCTCTCCATCTTGTGGTCTATTATTGACAGAATCATCCCCCAAGTCTCGCGCTCTTCTTAATCTCATCACATCGTCGCCAACACACAACAAGTCGTCATCACTGTCAAGATGCGATCCAAGTTCAAGGACGAGCACCCTTTCGAGAAGCGCAAGGCCGAGGCCGAGCGCATCCGCCAGAAGTATGCCGACCGCATTCCGGTATGTATTCATCTACCTATTCATCTGTCTGTTCTTCGTTGGCGTCTCTATTGAGCTCTGTTACCGTCATCTCGTCACCGCCAGCTCCGTTTGATTGAGCTTCGTCAGTACCGTCGTCATCCGGTTGCTACCTATTTCGTCATCGGCCTCTCTGTTCCCAATCTACCATCTCACCCATCGCCTCATTCACTCTTCCATTTCGTTCCGTGTGGACTTCTAGTTCTAACCCGTGATAGGTCATCTGCGAGAAAGTCGAGAAATCCGACATCGCGACTATCGACAAGAAGAAGTATCTCGTGCCAGCAGATCTCACCGTAGGCCAGTTCGTCTACGTGATCCGAAAGCGCATCAAGCTGTCTCCAGAGAAGGCCATCTTCATCTTTGTCGACGAGGTCCTCCCTCCCACCGCCGCCCTCATGAGCAGCATCTATGAGGAGCACAAGGACGAAGATGGGTACGTTCGCTTTCTTCCCTTCCCCCTTATATCCTCGCAAGCTAACTCCCCACCTCGTAGATTCCTCTACATAACCTATTCGGGCGAGAACACGTTCGGCGAGGCTGCCTAGACCCCCTTCCCCTTCCAACTTTCTCCCCCAACGGCGTTATGGATTAATCTGGCTGGACGACAACGATGTGATTATTGGTGGCAATGAATTATGAGTAGGGCAGGATACTCGCGGCAGACAACGAGGTTGATGGAGAGCTGCGTTTCCCGTTTAGTCGCATCATGGCCCCGAATGTGTAGACGACGTTAAAGGCGTGTCTCTCGGTTTCATATCATCAATACCAGTTCGTACGTGGCCGCTGCCCACCATCTCGCGTTGTCCAGATCCGATGAGCGATTCCTTTTTTTTTTCTTACTATACTTCTTCTATCGCACCCATAAACGTCCTGACCTATTCCCGTGACTCATTTATCACCTGCTATCATACGTACCAGGTCTTGGCTTGAGACTTGATCCTTGTCCACCTCTGCCTAGCCAAATACATATTTGGCCGTACAGGAACATTATTAATTATTCAAGTCGCTTTCTCTTATGGCACATTGAGCTATAATGCCTAAGTGGCCCCCGAACGAGCTGACTCCAAAAACCTGAGGGTATTTGCACAGGGACTTGACGAATCGGTGAATTATCCGTAGGACAGCTCGTGATTTTGAACAAGCTCATGTGAATACGCTTGTCAGTCTAAGCCAGCTCAACAAGTGACGAGCCCATTCCATGGTGCCGTCGAAAACCCAGAGCTACACATTGCCTAAAGGAGCACCCCATGACGGCCCATATTCACTCGCTGTCAAGGGAGATAATTGACAGACTCTGTCCAATTGTTATAGAAGGCGATGCGTCCCTTGGTGTGTGAATAGTCGTGAAGTGGCATTAGAAGTGTTCTAGCACGGCTAAACCGACACTAACTCTTCAAGCAGAAGTTATTCATAATTTAACTTAAGCTTGACGAGTATGGCTCTATGGTGTGTAAGAGATGGGATGCCAGCCTTCTCCCAGCCGGATAGGTTTAGGAAATCAAGGCGATAGGGGTCGGGATTCTAACAACCAGGTGATAATAAGTCAAGTCGCGGTATTAAAATACTGTATACCATGGTTCAATAGCGCTATTGCGTGTAAACAGCTACCCAATCACCAACACTTCAGGCAACTACGATATAATACCCAACTACAACAACATCCCTCGACGCAATCGTACAAACAAATGGTGAGATGGCCGAGTGGTTATGGCGCTGCGTCCAGGTCCATCTGAATTTCAATACCTAATTAATTCAGGTATATAATCTCGCAGTGGAGCAATCCGCGTGGGTTCGAGTCCCACTCTCATCATCAGACAGCTACAACAAGCGTGCAAACTTTTTTTTTCTTCCCTTCCCCCTGTTTACATCTATTGTGTATGCCAATTTTGTTACCCTGAGCAGCTATTCTTGGTTGATTCCTGTCTGGTAATGTCTTGTTAAAAGCACGATGTCTAAATAGTAACTATTTTCATAGGGTTTGATATCTACACGGCTTGAATACTCATGATAGTAGTATGGTTTTACCCAAAATGCTTCGGTGATGTGAGAGAGGGTATCTAAGTAAATATCAGGTGTTACAGTCGCTGTTGCTTGTATATAGACATACCTATAACCTACTTCCCCTACCCAAGTCGGAAGACATGTATAAGACTATGTGCTTGTATAAGACTCTTTTGAGCAGACACCCCGTTGTGAAAGTATATGCGGGACTTCAGTTTGGGCCCGGGGGCGCTGACCTCTTCAATCTAGCCTAAGACTTCTCGCCATGGTGCCTTTTGGCTCGCAGCCTTGATGTGAGTGAAATCTGCCAAGGATTCCACCAGCATTAATGCCACCAAGTATGCTAGGCTGCCGCAATGTCCCGGACCTAAAGTGATAGAGCTCAGTTACGGGCCAAGTACCGTGTCGATACCATTTTACCGAATCCGTTTGTGTCTTCAGCCTACCAGAACCATTCTAACCGTCTGTTTGCATCTTTCGTGAGGTGTTGGTGCAGAGCATGGAATACATAGACCTCCGGCGTATTTTTTCTCGTACGAGTTTCTTGAAGGCTTGCCCGGATGTTCGCTGACGGGTCTCTAGTCATATACCATAAGCCGTCGGATTGGACTCAAGGCTATCGAAGCTCTATGGTTGCGTTCTCCACTACCGAACAAGTTCCTAACACTACCAAATATGCACCGTACGCGAGGGCAGCATCAGGTTATGCCAATACAAGTCGATAAGATGGAAAGACATTGAACAGCCCAACCTCTTAGTCGGGTCTTATACCAATCGTAAATTTAAGGTCCGTTGTAAATAGTGTAGCAACCCCATCATGTTGGCGACATGGTTCTTCATTGTAGGGAGGAAGAAAGGAAAGGAAAGACCCAATCTGCGGTCCTTGAAGCGAACGAGCATCAAGTTTGCACGTGGCCCCTAGCGGAATACCGTCAAGGAAATACGGCAAGGGATCAAAGGCGTATTCGGTACTTTGAGGGCGTCTTAGTATCCCGCGAATCCTCTGTCGCACCTTTCACCGATAGGAGCATTCGACCCGAATGTGTGATCTTGTTTGGTTCATCACGGAACTGTTGGTGTTGACTAGTAACCCTACGAGGGGAAGAGAGAGGACCCTGGCTACACCGTCTCCTGTCAAAGGAGCGATGAGATCCCATATCATTCGAAAGCCCCATTCGAGCAGCTAATACACACACTCCTTCAAGAGCAACATAGGAGTCGGTCCGGGCCGCTCTCTAGGGGTGATATTCAGACAGCAACCTCATTTTGAGGTGGAGATGGATCAGATAATGGAGGTATCCCCCGAGTCATTCGTCGTCGCTTTGGCCTATAGTGGTATTTTCTCCTGGATCCTCTGTTTGATCGGGCATTGAGCGTCCGTACACTGCCACTTGAGATTGCGACAAGAAGTATTTAGTTGAAATGGGGAGGCTAATGGACGACAAACTGCGAGTGTCAGTGACGGTTATAGGTTGCGGGCTCCTTGCGGAAAACGTGGTCGCTGTCCTGGTAACGTAACGTGCCAACACGGATTTCTCTTTAGTGAAGCTTTGGTGAAGCAGAATCATCTAGCCAAGTAATTTTGATATGCCCAGACCACACTCTTCTCTTGTTATTCTTCCGCTCCTCCTTCTACCTCACCATCTACATATCACTGCTTAAGGTCTTAGGTATTATGACTTCATAGATGAACAGTATAATTCCGATATGGCACAGACAAAGGAGTACTACCCGTATTCATAGCCGCAATCTCTGGTAGATACCTAGGCTAGGAGCTCCCCCGCGGAATAGCGCTGTCTCTACCTCTCATTGTTTCGTATCGTGACAGTGGTTAATTTGATTTGATACACACGAGAATCACCACGCTTAATTTGCGAAATTGGACACGAAAGGGGACTCTGACATCCATATCCTTATTGATCAAGTGTATACCTGGCTGAAGGTACTGTAGGACCTGACTTAAAACTAGTACTCGACACGGGTCCCCTCATAATCTGCAGCCTCTGTACGGAATTCCCAATATCAATACCAACGCTCCAACTCCCCCTGTTACAATCAGGTTTCCCCCCAAAACTTACGCAACACGATCACAAATTAACGAAAAATCGTAAAATCTAAAAATAAAAATAATTTTGTAAGTAATTACTTAAATTGCCTTGATTTATTTTGCTTTACGATGTGTTACCTTATAATCATTTTATTCATAAGAGAAGTCAAAGAAGAGCACGCCCACTATATATTCACTTTAGGAGGTGTCCGCATAAGACTGGAAGGTCAGTGTAATAACGCTCAAGACCACAATCCCTAAGACACATCAGATTTCAGAGCGTGAAACAGCCGGTACAGAAGACAGATCACAATCCGAAGCTGCGACGACGCCGCCACTACTTCTTTACGTTTAGGTATGGGTCAACGATGTCTACTTTCGTCCCTGGAGACCGGGGAAAGGGGGATTGTTACGATGGCCCAGCACGTACTCACCGTCTTCCCTAGACATACATACTGAACTACACTACCATATCACGCAAAAACACATTTCGTGCAACATTCTCGAAAATATGTAACCAGCTCTCGTCATCATCTTGCTTCTTACTAGTCTTCCAGAGAGAGAAGCCTCGGCCTCGTGCTGCTCTACCCACGTCCCACGTGATTCAACTCCTTCCAACCTGATAATTTTAATTCGAGCGACGATTTGAAAAACAAATAGCGAAAATAGAGCGCACATAGAGCGCAATGCAAGGGTAATGGCAAATGCGGGAAATATCGTACACGAGGGGGAATACTCCAAAACCCTGCTGCTCGTACTCGGGGGAATTAACAGCAATTCCTTTTTGCAGGAAACCATCCACTTGCGGCCCCCGTAGAGGCGGGAATCAAATAGAACAACCGTGAGACCAACGCCGATTTTTCTTTGCTTTCAATTGAGCAACAGAGGGGCCAAATAGAGAAATCAAATGATTAGTCCGGCGCTGTCGGAAACGTCAATCGTGGGTGGGAATCGCTGAGCCTCCAAACCATCCAAAATCCCCCAAAAATGATGCAAGTCCTGAACGTCCAGCCGATGTAATAGTGCGTATAAAACAGCCCCGAGCCGTGACCGGACAACAATACAGAGTTTCCGTATCCAGAAGCGACACCGGCATGCTCAGGTAGGTAGGGTGAGTTTTTCCGATTCTCGAAAGACCGTCACTGACATCACGCAGGATTACCCTTCATACGTTTCGGCATCCGAGGCGTCGGAGGCTTTTTGCCAGCCATCGTGACGCCGTTGACCTGAGGGCCCCCCATGCTCGCAGGCGTGGGTGCGCCGCTGTCCTCTTCAGCCTTGACTGTCGATGGCCTCCTCCGCTTATTGCTTGCTGGACTCGTGTTGGCACTGGGTCCGCTAGAGTTCGTTCCTTGCTGGCTCTGCTGCAACTGCATGCCTGGTGCCTGCATATGTCCTTGGGCAGGGCTGCCTATGTGAGGCGAATTGGGAAGCTGCAAGTGCGTGGCAGCAGGCGAAGCGCCCATAGGGAACTGGCCAAAACTAGGGGTTCTTGGGTTTGGTGGACCATTGACTTGTGGCTGGCCGTTCACTACGGACTGCTGCGGAATATTGGTAATATTCTGGCTGACGTATTGCTCAAGCGCAGCGTAAGGGGAGAGGCCAGGGTGTGTATGGTAGAAGTTGAATAATGGCTAACTCACGTGTCAGTAAACGGGTCGAGACTCGACAGACGTTTCCACGCAGCGCAAGAGCTCTCTAGAGGCGTCTGACTTACATTCATTTGCCCCACGACTTCAATGATCTAGGACGCCAAGTCAGTAAGTATCCATTTCAGTCACATAGCTAGAAGCTCATACCTCGAGGAATTGGAACACGGCCTCGGTGATGCCAATATTCTGCTTGACTGCTGACTGGGGTAGGTCGATATCAGGAGGCGGGTTCGGGGGTGACTTCATTTGCTTCGCTTTGCCCTTCTTACTCATCTCCGGGGACAGCCGGGAGTCTTGGCCGTTCACCTTCAGCCAGTCCTTGACCCAGTTGTGTGCGGGTTTTGCTGCCTCGATCACCATCTTCCTCGAGTGATATTCCTCGTGGCCTTGTGTGATAAATTCTAACAGCTCCAGCTTTTGTTCGCTGTCAAACTGCGCTCGGAGAGTACCTGTGGCGACGACCTAGCACAGCTATCAGCATTTAATACTCCAATAGCGCGCGCTATGATTTGCACAACTTACATGAGAGTTGTCAAACCAATAGGTCAAGTTGGCCTTCTGGTTCTCGATAAGATGACAGCCGTTTGGTAACGGCCTATCCGTAATGCCCTTCTCGAACGTCAAATTGATCCTCTTGATACCGCTCTCGTAGTGTGTATGGAAATATCGCGCCAACGCGGGCTGCGTAATCTCGTACTGCTTGTCTGCGTGTTCCTCGTTCGCGGGATCGGTGCCAATGTAAAAGAGAGAAAGCCTGAAGGCTCCTCTGTGCGAGAAGAATTGCGCCACGAAGGAATTCCAGTATGATAAATCGTCCTTCCTTGACCCCTATTAAGTGCGTTATGTCAGCGATATTTTCCACAAGGGAATACAACGGCGGGAGGGAGAAAGAGATCGATCATGGGACTGGTACTGACAGGATACCCGCTGAGATGTTCGCCAAATTGCAGAAGCTTTAATAGGCAATGGCCCTTCATGCCATCGTTCTTGTGCTGTTGGTGTTGCAGTAATTGCTGTTGAATATTGTTGGGGAGCTGTAGATGCTGAGCCGCCTGTAGCGCCTGAGCACTGGGTTGTTGAGGCTGGTTCTGCTGAGCGTTTGGCGGCTGC